ATATAATGCTAAGTAGCCTGACAATACTCATTCTGGCTCCCTAATCTATCTTTTTATTTGGTTTTTCTAATTACTCGACGCACTTTCAACGCTTCCTGTATGACCCACAAATAGCTAACTGTGGTCCACTCATGTTTTTCTTTTCATTTCCAAGAAATAACAAGGGGTCTTTTGGCCTGACAAAGCTATCCCATTTTTTACCACCAACCTACTACCAACTATAATATTCATCCAATATTTTTTCAAACTCCTCTTGACTATTGCAGCTTCTATTACCTCTGAAGGCAAACTATTTTATACTCTGACTAGCCTAATAGAAAAATAAGTCTTCTTTTTCCATATCTTAAACTTGTACTCTTTAATTTTACTGCCTTTAGAGTGTTTTTTATAAAACTGCCCTTTTTTATGGATTCTAAGCCTCTTCAATTTTTTGAAAAACTCAATTATGCCCCTCTGAGCCCTTCTTCTCTCCAATGAAAACATATCTAGAGATTTCAATCTATATTCTTACGTTAACTTAGAATCTTCTGTGAACCCTCTTCACCAACTCGACATTCTTTCCAGAAGAGATTCAACCACCAATTTACTCTTGTGTGATATTCGTTTTCTATTGCCATATTACATTAACTTATAAAATAGCACAGTGTGTAAGGAGACCAGTGGACGTCTTTTTTTCGGTAAATTAAATGTTGAAAATCCATTAGCATTACGGTTAATGAGCATGAAAATAATAATGATTTACCTTTTTTAGACATGCTCATTAACCGTAATGCTAATGGATTTTCCACATCAATTTACCGATAAAATAGCACGATTCATTTCTTACAAAATCGCTTATATCCTCAATTTTTTAATTACTTTAGAATACATTTCCGTTGGTCTAACCTTCAGGTTTAAGAATGACAGCCTACCTTAAATCCGTCGTAGGTCCAGGAACCAAACTTCATTACACAAGTTTGCTCGTCGAAAGGAAAATACTCCACGTCAATGATACAAGAACTTTTGTAGATTGCTGGTGGCTTCCATTCAATGAAACCTTGGAAGTTGACCATAGCTTTAGTTGTGAGCGTAACTTCGAAATTCCCATCAGCACTAGAGAAAGATAAATATAACAGTGTAATAGTTATGGTATTTTTAAGTGTTTTACACTCACAAAAAAGAAAACTATCATTCTATAGGTA